TGAAATCTTGACTCTAGGTTACTACTATGAAAATGACAAAAAAGCTCTGCAGTTTTTGAAAATCGGTACAGTAGCGGCGGAGTGGTCGTCGAAAAACAAACAAAAAACGGTCAAACTTTGTTTTTTGACATTTCTGAGGCTTCTGACAGACTTAGGTTTTGGTCGCTGAAGACATCTGAAATTATTTTCCGGCGATTGAAAAAATTGTTTCATCGTTCATTTTGTATAATTTTTCCTTCATTTGTAAAGGTTCAAGCGTGACACTGACACCGGTCATGCGTCGAACGTCCGAGACTAAAAAGTCCATCCCATCGTGTAGGAGACGCACTTGCCAATTGTGGCATGTCAAACGTTGTATACAACGTTGGAAGCATCGTATGGGACCCGCATATGATGTGGCTTAATTGCACACAGCGCGGCGATTTTCCGTAATGCTCCTCAAAGTTTTTGAAAACACAAAAGACGGTAAAAATCGTAATTTATAACGTTGAACATACCATGTCTTCAGAAAGGACAACATATAAATAACCGTTCGAGCACAGCTAATAGATATACTTCATTGGCAGCATATTCAGTAATATTTTTCTCACATAGCATATATCACTAATTTTATGCACATGCAGACCAATACGCATCCAGATGCGATCTTGCTACTCAATCAACCTTCTTTTACATCTTCTCAGAGATAAACACTACAGACTACTCGGCTTCGCAAAACATACACTTGCTTTCTGAAACCAACAATGAGTGTCAGTCCTCCATAGATGGACGCTCACAGCGATCATAGCGAGCATATATGTTTAATGAACTATTTACAGTTACATAATAAGGGTGCTATATGACTATATACTTTCACAGAGTTATATGAGAAACATCTTTGGAATAGTGTTGAATGGTGACGAGGTAGACTAAAGTAAAATTTAGAGAATGTATACATCAACGATTGGTTAAATGAGCAATTTGAAATTTTGATTTTGTTTCTAAACTAAGTCGTGAAATAATCCGCGTGATATCTTACAGGTTTTGAGAATAACTTGCTTACATGACCCGGTGAGCACTCGCGAAAAGTGTGATTTATAACTTTATTAAACGAAAAATATATTTTGTAGGCTGCAAAAAAAATTGTACGAAAAATGTTTCCATGACAAGTGATGGACAATGAATTAATCCTAAAAGGATTATCTATTTGGTAACACCGTATCTATTTCTGACCAAATAAGAATAGCGCTTGTTTAGACGCATCACCTGTTTTGTGGACGCCATGTTTTGTGTTACATCTCTTATCTCTAATCCATTCGCATTCCCTTATTGTCTTCTCTTGGTATAACTATAGCCTATTTCACGAGTTGGCAATAATGGATCACATATAAATCTAGTAAAACTTGTTTGTGGTGTTTTATTTTTCATATGCAAATGAACTTTTCTAAATAAAAGGGCTGTTAGCAAGTACAAAATGAATCTGTAGCGTACAAAACAAAAAATAAATTGGGCTCTGTCTACCTGGCGTTGACAGATCCGTCAGAATTATGTGTCCTGTGTCGGTATGCGGAGTTTTGAGGTATTACTAGATAATCAGCTGTCATTCTGGCGTGATGTATACTCGTGAAATTATACTAACCATTTTATCAATTTGCTGTCAGTCATTTTTTCATTTGATACAACTAGAAATACTTCCTATAAGTGTTATTTTTCTTGCAGGCGACGCCTTGCATCAAACAGTTCTTCGCTTTGCTGAACCAAATGTCTAAGCAACATGCTCCAGAAAACATTGCAAACAAAATAAATGAAATCCTTATGTCAAACAACAGGTTAGGTTTTCTTGTGAATGAAAGGTTTCTCAATGTACCTGCCAAGCTAGCTGCAGTAATGCTACAATCCCTCCATGACGAAATAGAGCGACGAAAGAAGAAGGATGCTAGTTATGACTTCAATTACTATATTATGATTTGCAAGACATGCAAGAATAAAGAACAGGGAGGTAAGCAGCATTTTTGAGGGGTTATAAAAGTGTTGCAGAACCCATATTTTGCATATATTTTAATAAGCGATTCCCAAAAGGAATGGTTAATTTGTAATGATTTTTTGGCATTTTTTTTGTCGTTCAGTTAATGAGCATTTGCTTTATTAATACAGTCAAACTCTATAATACTATGTAGAAAGTATTCTAAAATTTCTGAGGTTTAGATCATTGCAGATTAATTTGTCAATATTTATTATGAGCTATAATATATAGAGCAATGGAATTTTGTCATCTGCAATTAGGTCCAAACACTACTAAAACTACTGCGTTTTTTTAAATAAATCTTGATTATTAAGCAACTTGTAGAAGACTTGGACCTATATATGCTACGCGAGTTGTGACTTTCAGACATTTGTAAGACAGGAAAAATTTAGCAAGTACATGAAATTGATGTTTTGCTAGTGCCCACCCCTGGGGGTTGATATGTCCCGAAACTTGTTAAGTGAGTGTCTTAAGCCTCAACTGTCTCAGATTCATTAGCCTTGCACCTTTCATGCGGCACTTGATGTAGCAGATGTATTAAAAAGTAAGTGGGAACAGTTGATGACGTGAAGTGGAACTATGCTCGTTAGTTTGGAAAAATTGCTGTGGCTCTTAAGTCATCTTTATGTGACAGTTAATACAGTCGATGCCCAAACAAGAAATTGAAAAACCGTCAGAGGTTTGGGTTTATCCTTTGAAATGCAAGGGTATGAGAAAAGTGGTACAAGGGGGGCTCACACGTCCGATAAGTCGTTCTGCTCATACGGTTGGATGAAACATTGTTAGATCAGAATATCATCGTTTTGGGATATCTCGTCATTCTAATTTCATAATGCTGACCAAACTTTGATCATTTCAGTTCAGGAAACGAACATGAACTTTATGTTTGTCCAAAAATGATCTATTTATGCATACTATTAAAGAATAATTGAGATACATATCAACATGACACATATCTACAATTTAAATTTTTCTGTAGACTCGGAATTTTTCGTTAACGATGAAGAAGACATATTCTCACAAGCAGCAGATGTCACCTTTGCCTTCAGTGTAGAGCATGAAGCAGACACTGGACTTGGTGGGAAATGGAAAACTGAAGATAAGCAAGTGATTCCTTATAGGAGGATACTAATATTTAAAGGAGAGAAGTTCAAAGGACTATTGGATAAAATCGCTGAGCTCACTAAATGATATTTTATCTTGTTAATGTTAAAACTGATAAATATTGCTATTTGTGTAATTATGACTGATTTCAATAGATATGTTTCATAAAAATATGATTTTAATTTCTTTAGTGGTTGCTTGTGTATACACTAAACGTTACAGAAAATATTTATTCTATTAATGTTACAGTTGAAAAATAATATTTTTTGTGTAATCACGACTGAATTTTATAGATACTATATATATGATAACATATTTATTTTTTTAGTTGTTTGTATGTACACGGAACCACATATATTGGATTGAATGTTTACTAACGTTTTTCAAAGAACGAATGATTTGAGTAGTGAACATTTAATCCCACATGTGTGGCTTCAGGACAAGTTTCAGGTGTTACATTAGCTTCCCCTTGACTTGGGGTGTCCCATAATACTATCCATTACGTTTTTCCCAGCTGAAAAGGCTAGTGTCATTCCACGTTTTTTTATACCGAAGTAGCCCCACAGGTAGAAGCCTAAATGCCGGGACACCGCGGCTGCTATGATGATCCCGAAGAAATTTTGTAAATACGATTTTTGAACTGCCTAAGGTTAGTAGATCTAGATTGGTTCACAATCTCGACACAGTTAGGATGAGACACCAAAGTCAGGCGGGTGTGTCTGGCAGGCACATCGCGCAGCGGCAACATGGAAGAGATCTATGAGGAGCAAAGCCCGTTGGTGTAGCGGTACAAAAGAGCTAGATCGCGGACGGCCTGCCGGTGCGATAAGGTCCGGAGAGTGTCTGTTAGAGAAGAGTCGTCGATCAGTCGGACCTCCCTCCTCTGGACAGCATCGAGCATAAATACTGTAGTCGGGGCGGCAGCACCCCAAACGTGTGAGCAATACCCGAAGCTAGACCTTATCTGGGCCTTGAATAGAGTGAGAAGGTCATGCGGAGAAAAGTAATTCTTAGCCTTAAACAAATAGCCTAACTTTTTCCCAGCAGCTGCCGCTATAGACGAGATGTGTTCGTGCCAGACCAGGTACTCGGTGATCTGCACTCCAACTAGCCGAAATGAATGACTCTTTGGCAGAACTCGGCCATCCATCGAAACCGGATGAGCGCTAGGTCGCTTTTTGTTTGACAAAGCACAGTACTGTGTTTTGGAAGCATTAAACTGTACTAGATTGTTGCGTTCCAAAGCAGTGATAACCTCCAGGTCTCTCGTCAGAGAGGAAGTTGTCGCTAGTCTACTTACGTGATATTCTTTACCTTTCAAAATTACATCGTCGAAACGAATGCTTACATATTTCTTCTACGACGGTGCAGTTTATCCTCGGTTTTCAATTATCTCTATCAAATGAACCGACCAGAAGGATTTCATTTTTGTTTCAGATACCAATGGAACGGGATCACATATTTCATGACAAACTGTCAACATCAGAGAATTAACATCTTCCTTATATCCGACGGAAGCCAAATCGCCATTGCAGTAGCAGCTATACTAATGGGACATAAAAAACTTATTACATTTTGGCACCTTTTAAACTAAATAGGGAATTTGCGCCACTTCTCAATTACTAAAAGAGGTGCAAACAACCAGAATAAACCTTTTGATTGCCGTGGATTAGTATTCCACTGGAATGCGAAGTTTTTTAAAATATGAAATTGCCACGATAACACTGAAATGAATAAGACATCGCGAGTATAAGTCTATGCTTTTCAGTGATTGTTTCTACATTTAATAAATTCCATGATTTTGAAATTGTGTTTATGCGATTATTATTTATTTTGAATAGCTGAAGTAAACAATTCAGCAAAATGCAGTTGAAGCGAACCGAAAATGACCAGCTTTGATTAATTTGAATAACGTTTTTCTATTGGTTTATTTATTGACATTAATTTGATAAAGCAGACACATATTGACGCATCTTCTGCCAATGTCAAATCTGAATGTAGTTCCCAGGACTTTTATTTTATGATTACTTTAATAAACCTTCCTAGGACAGATATGGAGCATGTTTGTTAGTTGTAGCCCTACAAATTCCAGTTATAGTTCCATCCAGGTTATTCTCTAATTTAAGACGTTTTTGACAATCTGCAGGAGCGCTGTTCCAATGCGGACACATCATGCAAACAAATGATCCTCCATTCATCCATTCTAGGAAATAATAGGTTGCTCTGGCATGACTGCAGAAACCTGCAATATTGGCAAAATATGTCTACATAACCAGTATAATCAATATTGATTCTACACCTCACCTTGTCCTAGAGCTTCTCCAAGAGTGGTGACCATTCCAAAGCTTTCTATGCAACCAGGTTGAGGACTGTAACCTCCATTTACAACTATATCGAGTGTTCCTAGGGCAAAGTCCACTCCATATTTTCCTATGAAAATATCAACAAATTCAAGGATATTGATGAGGTTGCAGCCACAACTCAAAAAGAAATCAGGCCAAACGGAAAGTCTGTTATTTGCAATCCAAAAAACGGAGAAACAGCCACTGAATGTCGAAAAACATCAGATTAAAAAAAGGAGTCATTTAGATTGACTCACAATTCCCACACATTCGAAACATTTCCTAGTACAATTTTACATGTAGTGCAATAGCATAAAATCAAGTCAAAACCATTTATGCTCTATTTGGGCTTTTCATGAAAAAAATCTCAGATTGCAACAAAGAGCGTCAGACTGTTTGGCAAAAATATTTGATAACTGATTATAATAGCTCTTGATACGTACTTATATTCTATAGATACTATACTGACCTTACAAATCAATATACGAGTAGATATCGTATGTGCATATCGCGTCATCGCGCGTTCGGTATCCCCTACGAAATATGCAATATTTAAAACAGGGGTGCACGGCAAATGCTACAGATAGGTACGCGATCTGTCGGTTGAAAACATTATTGAATTGTGTAAGGCTTCCACGACCGATCAGTTGAAGTACCAAATCTTTTTGGGCTATTAGGCCCTTGTTTGAACGCTTGACGTTTCACCCACACGAGCATTTGGCATCTTCAGAGGCTCTGCAATCTTGAAGTCTAGGATGACATCGACATGACACTGACTTTTCGCGTGATCGGTGTCCGTATTTATGGGAACGCCAGGTGGCCGTGTTTCTCCCCGAGTTCTCGGCCATCGGCGTTCTGGTGGTATCGCTATAGAAATTGCATCGTACTCATATTTTTTATTACATGCAACCAAGTTTTGTGTTTTTTTAATCGCCTCTTCTGATTTGTTGAAGTTGCCCGAATGTTTTTCGATTTCAATGGCTTCTCTGTACTACAATCTGACATGAAAAGAGAATCGACGCATTTCATTTCATGATTCGTTTTTGCTAAAGTGTGCTCTGCCACGGCATATTTTTCAGTATGTTCCAGGCGGCAGTTGGCTTTATGGTCCCTGGTTCTGGTATTTATTGATCTTTTAGTTGCTTTTATATACAGGAAAAACCAAATTTGTCTGACGACTTGAGTTCAATGTGTATGAGACAAAAGTGCGTGTTTATCAACACATGTTAGAAAGGGGTAGGAGGCGGCTGAAGAGCGAAGGTTATCACCACATTGCCTAGCAACGGTGACGCAGAATGTTGTGTAATCTACCTCGTTGCCAATATGTTACACCAGAAAATGTTTGCACACCCTTCTACAATAGGTTAGGTCACTGTCAAACCCAAGAAGCAGTCTGTTCGAGCATTTAAGATAACTTAGAGTTCTAATTTATTTCGGAATTATCCTTGATTTCCATCGATGGTGATAAAATTAACACATCCTGAGTTTTCATTACATTTTGCGACAGCGAGCGGTCTGAAAATGTAACAAATACCATTACACAATACAAATTATCACTGCATGCGTGGGAGCAGTTGAAAACCATTTCGAAGCAGGACGACACTCCCCAATGGGCACTATACGGGTACTGACTAAAATCACTCATGTATGATCATGGAGATGGAAACCTTGCCATGGAATGTACGAGATGCGGCGTCGCCAAGCGAATCAATTATGCAATATTGCGGAATTTGAGGCGATCCTGACATTTCATTTCGACCTAAAGTGAAGCGCCGTTAGGACCGATTCGGAATTGATGCTAAATAGATGCAACATAATTCACAATTCAAAAATGTGTACGCTTAAAATAAAAGCATTATTTGGGCGTAAAGGATAAACTAACGCATATTATTAATATGCATCGGAATTCAGGGAACTGGTGTAACATTTTGGCAACGCGGCAGATTGCCACGTCCGCGTTGCTAGGTAGCGCGGTAATGAGCTTTGATATCCAAGGGGCTTCTGTCTCTAACACTGTGTCTATACACACTTCTCTCTCGTACACATTGAACTCAAGCCATCAGACAAATTTGGTTTTCAGTGTATTCACATGTGCTCGGTACCTATATGGTAAATTCCTGAGTTTGAAAGAGGATCCCTTTTGTCCTTAGCTTAGACATTCTCAAATTATTTTTATTGGTTTGATGCTCTCCTTACTTAGTAAATGGCCCATTTTAGCAGTTCCTTTCGGAATGTAAGGCAGGAAAGGATTGATAGAGTAGATTTAACTAACTCATGTTCTCTGCTTATATTTGTTCTGTTCGAAATATCCGTTGGCCATCAGGGTTTTCATCAGGTGTCCCAACTCGTCATCGAGATTTTCGGACTTTTGCTCGACTTTGTAAAATCATATTAGTGACTTTTTGTATATTGAGTTATGTCGGCGATACTGCACTTTTCTTCTTTCAATACTGACATGTCTATGAATACTTGTGTATTTTTTCTATGATCAATAAACATTATTATTATTATTATTATTATTATTATTATTATTATTATTATTATTATTATTATTTAGCTACTTGAAAATATTTGTTTTAAGGGGTACGGGGTAATTTATGATGTATAAGATATGTCTAACAGGTTTGTAGGGGGATGAAAGTGTATCATTATACTAACATCAAGCAATTGCGATACAACCCTCCCCACCCCTTTACGACCCGCCACCACTGGATCGATTTTCAAAAACTACAAAGCATTTCATCCAGGGCAAAGTGGTAACCCAGTGTGAAAAGTTTCATCAAAATCCTACTGGTACTTTGCAAGTTATGAACGGGCCAAGCATTAACGGGCAGACAGACCGACAGAAATGAGTGACACGTTTTTCTGTGATGCTCATCATATGTGTGTAACATCAAAAAACATATCTCATTTCCGAAATTTTTCGCGATTACTATACTTCCTCGCCACTAGACGTTGAAAGTACAACATCGAATATTCAACCTTTCTTTCTAGTTTTTTCGAATGCTTGTTTTGAAAGAATATGCCAACGATAACGTCTTGAAAGGGAGAATACAAATTTTCGACAACTTGACATGAACAAAGAACAAACTTTCTTCCTTGCCTGATTTATTTTTGCGTTGTGGTTGTAACCTCGAGATCCTTGAAGTTGTATATCAACTACCCTCGTCTCTATGAAATTACATATACTTATAGGTTTAAAACAGAATACTATTTATAAGTAACAGGTTTCGTAGACTATTACTACGATAACGTATTCGTGACATTCACTCATGCCTCTTGAATTAATTTCGGATATATTGTATATCAGGCACTGTACCTCCATCAGTATGTATAGAGTCAACAATCAACGCATCATCTTTATTGAGCCTTTCTTCGGGATGTTGCCAAAAAATCCCAAAATATGGTCCTGCCGGATCAAGTCCTGTAATCCTCGAAAGCACTTTGTTATGTCGCTTCAAAGCTTTTCCTGCGAATCCAGCTATATGGGCACCCAAGGAATGGCCAATGATGTGAATCCTAGCTGTATCTAAATCGGAGCTCATAATAAAGTCTGCGATTTGTTGCCCTGAAAGGTGTTTCATATTCGTACTCAGTAAGAGCCTTGCAAGAAGATAACTATATTCTGTATTTGAGCTTTTACATACAACTTTCCATCATCAGAGCCAAGTTACCAAAGCACTGCAATTCCCTTAGAAAGTAGAAAAACAGACTCCATTTTCTTTTAAAAAGTTGTTTATTCTTATGGCCTCAAGGAAAGATCATCGCTCAACCTACTTTGCAATTATTCCTAAGATCTGGCATGTCCAGCATTTCTTGATGATGGAAAGGGAAATCCCATACCATTCAACAACATTCAGAGAGGTGGCAATACAGAGACCCAATAACCGTGGTCGACAGGCATATTGCACCCCTAATTCAATACTGCCAAAACTGCAATTTCAATATTACCAAACTCCCAATGTAATTACATTGCAGTAATATGACAGTATTGCACAGAACTTCTTGCATTCCGAATTAACAAAAGCTAATCAAGAAGCTTTATGTGTTCCGGCTGTAAGAAAAATTTCTCACCTACTGCTTTTGTACCCACAGCAGCTGAAATATAGGCACTTCTAGCTACTCGATTCCAATCCACTTGAATTACGTTACAATCTTCTCGGGCTAAGAATGCCTCAGTCACATTTTTGTACCATGTAATTTTTCTATTGTTGAGCCATCCATGTACGAGGATTTTGGTATCTTTTTGATGATCTATCTTATCGGAACCTGTAGGTATAATTATATCTTGATTAGGGAACTTTAACTACAAGTCTTGATGGATGGTATTTTAGCCAGGTTTGTCCATTCATTGGAATCGTATGTAAGTTTCGACTCGTTTTATATATATATATATATATATAACAAAAAGTAGGAACATAATGGGAAAAATCCGCAAAAAGGGGGAAAGTGGATTCGAGGAGAAAATAGGATAGGTAACCCGAGCGATACGTATCTCTGCTGGTTGGCTTCATCAGGCGCTACAATGTGTAGGTTGGCTCTCGTTGGGGACTTCGTGTGTCGTTTTTTCCCTCTCCATCTTCGTTTCCTCAGGTTACACCCATATCCGGATATGTGGGCATGTGTATCTACTTTTGTAGTTTCATATGTGCATTCATTTCGGGCCTGATGAAGCCATCGAGCAGAAATACGTATCGCTCGGGTTACCAATCCTATTTTCTGCTGGAAACCACTTTCCTCCGTTTTGAGGATGTTGTCCATTATTTTCCTACTTTTTGATATACACCTTTCTCCGCATGAACATTTTCTCTCTCTCTCTCTCTCTCTCTCTCTCTCTCTCTCTCTCTCTCTATATACAGGGTGACTTTGAAGTTGAGTCATTAATTTTCAGATAACGATTGTAGAAGGAAGATAAACCAAAATATGTGTGTAAAAATAAAAAAAAAATAAAAAAAAAATGTTACCTTGTTTAATAAAGTATCCTCCCGACAAGTATTTCAGTGCGGACCTGTATTTGATCGTGCGGTCTTGGAGCAGCATGCCCTCACCTGTGAGGTCTTAAGTCACCTGATTCACGAGCCCTTTGTACTACATTAACAAAGGCACGAGGGGTTGGTTGCACTCGATTGGGAAACCGATTCGCATAGATCCGTGATGCATCCGGGAGCATTTTGTAAAGACTGCCCCCCCGTAAATAAGAATCATGTCCACAAGTTCAGCATTTTCGTAAACATGTGCCATTTTTGATTTCGTTTGAACCACGCAACACACTACTATTCACTTACGCGTTATCGACTGACGAAAAACATCGTGATAAACGTTTCAAATTCTTTTGCTTTTTTGTTTCCGATGCGATGAACCGGTCAGGCGGATTATATCCATTGTCGCCAAACACGAGCATATAATAGGCAGGGCGGTACTCAAACTTCCAAAGGGCTATAACTTTGTTACTTTAATTTTACCAGAAAAATGGTAAAGGAAAAAAACATTTCTTTTGATCAGATCTACTCACTGTTAAAATAAATGACTCAACTTCGAAGTCACCCTGTATATATATATATATATGAGTGTTGAAAAAGTTCCTTGCCAGATTTCAAAGGGTCATTTATTGGGTGCACAACCTTATACTGTATTTGGACGTCCACGTACAATACCATCGTCACAGCAATCTTGCAACAGGATCGCAATAATTACCTACCCTACAAGTGATAAGATTAAACTCTACTTTAGGAACTTTATTTTGTTTTCAAAGTTGTCATTAAACGTTTAATGAAAGATTACGACGTAAAACGAAGTCTCATATCATGCGACGAAGGTATGATTGGTAGCAACGCTGCCCCACGTAGAACTGCAGTGATCGATTACTCAAAAAGATGCCGCACGATAGTTATGAAGATTTGGGTGTACTTCGGCTGAAATAGTGTCACGAAAGGCCTCTTCTTGTCGCACTTGAAATGAAAAACTTCTAACCTTTCCACGTTTTCTTCACTCGCCGGCTCAGACAAGTTAGTTAACCTCAATTTACGACTCTACACCCTAGTACCATGTGAAGATCACTTTCTAGAAAACTCAAGAATTCCACTACAAACTTCGAGAAACATATCGAATGATCTAGAAACAAACACATGCCAGAATTCAAACTATGATCTAAACAGGTTCTCAAATGATGGCATTTCCGGTTATACCGGAAGTAGATACCAACTTGATTATTTTAAATAGAATACTCTGTATATTTTGGATTTTACGCAAGATTGCTATATTTAAACCGTTTTTAAGATAACTCTAATTTTGCTTAAAAATTATAAATGTAGGACAATAAATTATAACAATCTTTTCTCGTATTTTTCCATTTGCCAAATGGTTTGTAAATGGCTTTTGATAGTAGGGCCTACTTCAGTAGCTTTTATTTGCAGATTTGGCTAACAAACAGTTCAGGGTGGCAAAAGAAGAATAAAAATTAGGTTCTAGAGAACCCAAAGGTTAATTTTTTCAAATTAATGGAAATCATATTTTTTCATAATTTCATCGTATTAAGCATTGAATATAAGATTAATTTTGTATGGAGTTCTACAGGGTGTTCCTTAATGATATGCAAATGTTGAAGGATGTGAATCTACATGAAAAATTAATGTTAGTTTGCTTTATAAACTATGGTCCATAAATGTTTTCTTACAAAAACTCGGGGTGTTGAAGTTTTAGGAAAAAATATGGAAATTAATTAATATTTTCAGAACCGCTTCAGATATTTCACTGATATTTAGTACGTAGTGAAAGTTAATAAAGTTACATATTTTTTGATGCAAAAATAATTTTTAGCTATAAGAGTGGCGTGCGTGAGTTTCCGTGATATACCTATACTGACATGTTGGTTTATTTAAATAGCTTAAATGCCCCATAAGGCTTTTACGATATAAGCAGATAACCTGTGTTAGCCATGGTGAAGTATTAAGTATGTCGCCTTATAGCCGACTGTCGTATTTAAGCAAGAGAAAATTCAATATTTCTGTATATCTGAAACCGTACAAAATCAGGCTTATTTTCAATGGGTATACTTTGAAGTTGAGTCATTAATTTTCAGATAATGATTGTAGAAGGAAGATAAACCAAAATATGTGTGTAAAAATAAAAAAAAATTAAAAAAATTTTTTACCTTGTTTTATAAAGTATCCCCCCGACAAGTATTTCAGTGCGGACCTGTATTTGATCGTGAGGTCTTGGAGCACCGGCCTGCAGTCCCCTGTGTGGTCTTAAGTCACCTGATTCACGAGCCCTACATTAACAAAGGCACGAGGGGTTGGTTGCACTCGATTGGGAAACCGATCCGCATAAACATGTGCCATTTTTTATTTCGTTTGAGCCACGCAACATACACCACTATTCAAACGCGTTACCGACTGACACTGACTGTATACAACTGACTAAAATAATTGTAAAAACATCGTTCCAAATTCTTTCGCTTTTTTGTTTCCGATGCGATGAACCAAACACGAGCACATAATATTATTATTTAAACAGGGCGGTACTCAAACTTCCAAAGGGCTATAACTTTGTTACTTTAATTTCACCAGAAAAATGGTAAAGGAAAAAACATTTCTTTTGATCAGATCTACTCACTGTTAAAATAAATGACTCAACTTCGAAGTCACCCTGTATATATGTAATTTTCTTAGAATCCCCCAGATTTATTGAACAAACTATCTTCTAGTGAAATGTGTTTTTAATCCTTTATTGAAACCGCAATTCCTCATGGGCTTCTACAGTATATTCAGATAAGAGATAGACCGGATGTAAACAAAAGGTTCGGGTGATTTTCACGCTAACGCCGCCGTCTCGACGTAAAACAGGAGCCCTCATTGGTCAATTCGCAATTAAATGCCTATGCCGAGCGGCAGAGCAGTCGTATCAAGGCAGAGTCACATTCAGGTTCAGACGTGTTACGTATGTCGTGTGCATCATTGCAATTTGATATTTCTTTGGACGTTTTCGTTTGTTATCTTATTAAGTTGTTGAGTTTGTCGTTGTTATTGTTATACCTTGATAACAATATCAACTGCTTGCGCAAAATGCCCAGTAGTACAGATACTGCCGATGAAGTTGTAAACTCCTGTAGTCCACCTAGGAAACGCTCTAAAAAAAGACACCTGAGTGCAGAAATGAAAGAGGTCATTTTGAATATATATAAGATCGAGCGCGAGGAGAACGAGGCATCAACCATCAAAGAAATTGTTGTGAAGGTTTCTCACAAAGTTGGGATGTGTCGCGCATCAGTGTTTAATGTGTTAAGACAATACAAAAAAATCACACCTTTTCTGAGCCAATGACCAGTAAACATCGCAAAAGTATTGTTAAATCATTGGATGAAGCTGATAAGCATGCGATTAGGAGGAAAGTGCATGAATTCTTCTTTAGGAATGAAATACCTACTATAGATAAAGTACTGCAGGAGGTAAATGGAGATACAACGTTGCCAAATTTCAAACGATCAACTTTCCATGCGTTACTGAAGCATTTAAATTTCAAATGGAAAAAACGGGGTCGTAATAGTTTACTACTGGATAGAGAAGAAATTGTGCTATGGAGGAGGGATTATTTAACAAAAATTGGGAAATATAGAAATCAAAACAGGAAGATTTATTACCTTGATGAAACGTGGGTAAACGCAGGACACACTACAAGTAAAGTATGGGTTGATGATTCTGTAACTTCATCCAGGAGGGCCTTTCTAGATGGAGTGTCCACCGGATTAAAAAATCCAGCAGGTAAATACGAGTAATAGACAACAATCGGATGTTTTTCAAACCTTGGGAACAAGGTTCTAAACATTAATTCCAGGGGGCAGATAAAACATATTACAAGTAACAAAACTTTTATAACTTTCGATAAAATGCGTGGATGTTTTATTGTCATTTTCATTTGTTAGAACTTTTTTAAGCCATGTTTTTATGTGTTTTCGATATTTCAATAATTTTTTAATATAATCTTAAAATATGTCGAATATTATAAACTTAAAAAAAGTTACTAAGTTTTATATTGTGTACCGTTCCTAATATTTCTAATCATTTTAATTCATACTTTAAGCTTTATAAAGTTATAATTTGTTAATATTAATATTTGCGCGTATTTCAGGTTCCTGATCATTCATTTTTTAAAGGTTTATAACTTTAAATTAAATTGTGATGCGCTGAGTAATCATACGACGTTCAATATTCTTTCTTTCAATATGACTAAATAATCCCAATTATAGCAATCTGATACTCATGTCTCAATGTTTTTTCGCTGAATGTGATGAAAACATTTGAAAAAGGTTCGCTTATTGAAATAAATCTACACCAGTTAGTACTTCGATTTCCAGGTAAAGGGAAAAGGCTCATTATCTGCCATATTAGCAGTGAGGATGGATTTGTTGTTGACGGTCTGTGGTGCTTTGAGTCTTAGAAAACTGGAGATTACCACGAGGAAATGAATGGCGAATCGTTTGAACAGTGGTTTTCAAAAATTTTACCGAACTTAGAGGAAAACGCAGTAATTGTGTTGGATAATGCGCCTTATCATTCTCGAAGAATGGAGAAGGTCCCAACAACGGCTTCAAGGAAAGTTGATGTTCAAAATTGGCTCCGCTCGAAAAATATCAACTTTGAAGAAGCAATGCTGAAAGTACAATTATTAAGAATTGTCAAGGATCACAAGGCGGAATATCAAAAATACGCCATTGACGAAATGGCAGCAAGTCAAAATAAAACTGTGCTCCGTTTACCTCCATACCATTGCGAGCTCAATCCCATTGAGCTCATATGGGCAGAGGTTAAAAATTATATAGCTAAGCACAATACAACTTTTAAATTTTGTGACCTCAAAGGACTTTTCAAAGAAGCACTAGAGTTAATAACAGCGCAAAAATGGGAAAACTGTATTAAGCACGTGAAAGACAAAGTTGAAAAGAGAATGTGGGAACTGGACAATGTTTTAGAGGAACAAGTCGAGCCATTCATTATTGACGCTGGTGCTTCAGGCAGTAGCGATGATGAAAGCTCATCAAGCTCATCTTTCCAATAAAAGATGTCGTTCATCAAATTCGGTAAGTTATAAGTAATTATAAAGCTACTGTATTTTTTAATTAATTATTGACATTTTTGAACCCATTTTGGCAAAACCTATTCAAGAATCTACTTTCTGACAATGTTCAACCATGCACATTTTTTTACCTTTTGAACGTTTTCATTTGGTTACATATTTACCTAGAAATCAAAAAATATACTAATCAATATTCTAAAAGCAATTTTAAGAGATATACGATTATTTTTAATTTAGGCTAATTTAAACGCCATTTTGAGATTATATTCGACTGTATTTCACCAAACATCAGACGGCATCCGAAGCTGGAAATCGTAGCGAAAATTTTGAAACCCTTATGTATATTTACATCATTATATATTTCTTACCCCACCCCCACATGATCCTATATCCATCACCAATCGTATACACATCGAATTGTGCTAATTTACTACAAAGTTACGCAAAGCAGCATCTACTATCTAAAATATGTACTGCGTGACTCTTAATACGTCCCTGCCGAATGTTACAGCGTTCGATGATCACGTGGTCTTGTTTATGTCCGGTCTATCTCTTATCTGAATATACTGTAGATTGCTAGATTGCAATTCGTCAAAATCCTCTCTTTAGAGTTTGGGCTTTGCATTAAGCATTGTATGTTCCTCCATTTGGTTTTTTGCTTGCTGTAGCAATTTGCCGTCATTATATTGGTAACTCTAGAATAGGCATACGCGTTTGGTACGCAGAACCTTTGGTTTTCTTTATATCGAAGCATTCTGCCCAAATACTGCGTCAGCTATTAAGATTAATGATATCCTTTGAATTGCTTAAGATTAGTAGAACTGAGAAAATCTTCCTCAGGCAGATTGTTCTATAATCTCTACACCCTAGGGACAAAGGAGCGGTTATACCGGCCAGTCCTGTGAAAGTTCGACCGGTTGACATAGCGGTAGAAGAGAGGCAGATCGCCGACGACTCGTCGGTGTGAAAGGGTTTCGAGGCTGTTCGTTAGAGAAAAGTATTTGATCAGACGGACAGCCCTCCTTTGAACAGCCTCGAGCGTGGATAATGTAGTCGGGGCGGGTATACAAATATAATAATTTAGTAGGTACTTACTTCCGTGATACTGTTGAACCCCTTCCACACCCCTGTTAAATATGAAAAACTTAACATCATTTTCTCTCACCGCAGATAATCTACTAGTATCTTCATACAGCCTTAAAATATCGACAAAGCTCATGTCTTTCAGATCCTGGACGTAACCTGCAAAAAAAATGGCACTTCTATTAAGAAGAAAATTGTGTTCCTAAAAGTTTACCAGGATCGGGAAAAGATGATGCAAAAAACAAGGTGAATAACACTTTTAAAACTTTCATTCCGTACGTAAGTTTCGAAAGACAAAGAACAGTTTTTTTGTTTTGCAGAAGTTTTTGCCGCAGTCTGTAATATAAAATAGGTTTTGTCTATGGAGATTAGAGGAAAATGCTGGGTAATACGCTGCTTCACAATTTTGTTTTTATTGGGAATTAGAATAATGAGTAAATTCAAAACAATTTCACAGTGGGTTAAACTACATAATAGCAGAAAAGTTGTATTGTAATAGTATCAAAGGTCTGTATCTGTCTTCTGCGTCATAGTACGTAGATAATACAGCATTTGGAACATGGGCGCCTGTAGGAATTTTTCTGACCTGGGCCGGTCATTGGCAAGAAATAAATTTTTGGGAAAGCGTACCTGCCTTGAAAAGCTTTTGAAGAAAACTTTCCAGGGTGTGCCAAATCCTAAAAATCCTCAAAATTGTTCACAAACTCATGCTAAATATGCAAATTTTAAGGTCCAAACTTCACTCGCATTACGTAACTTTAAAAAACTGCGTCAAGTAGGTTGACCCTGCACTTTCCACGCAACGCTATCATTACTTTATAAAGGATAATTATGATCAGCACACGTTAGTCCCCTTGAGCTAGCTACAAACATGTATAAAAAAAGGGGTCGAACCAGCCAAACTCGCCCGTATACAGTTGATAACGCTTAGTGGCGACGCGTGACTTTTCCTAAACTGTTACCAAAACCAGATGTAAGAAATCTTATAAAAAAAGTTTATTTTGAACCTCCCTAATATAAGTTTTTGCTTATTTTAGGTATTTTATTTAAACTATTTTTAAATTAAGGTAAACATTCCTGGACTGGGCGTCTGGGGCACTTGATATATCTCATCGTCTTATGCTGACTAATCCAAGCTGTCCGAAAAAACAATCGACGTTTCTAGATGTTCGGAAAATTTTTGATCTTTTTTGGCAATGAATCTTAACAAGTCCCTGTAATTTGTTTGGCCAAAAAACATACGGTATCTAGAAGTGTGCTGCCTAAAAGCTTGGCTAAGACAACTGAACAACTGAATTAAATTGGCTACACATCTCACATGTAACGGAGAAATTTCATGTCTCCTCTTTAGAGCCCTAAAACTATTTAAATCGTTGACTACGCCGCATTTTATTCTGTATAAAACAGAAGACATCGCCAACAATACATCTATGATGGATTTTGGTCAAGTTTTTCATGTTTCTTTTGTTTCTGTTTTTTTCTGTTTTACGTTTTGTGCTGTAACTACCATGTAAGCTATACTACTGCTTTTTGCTCTATAAATGGTGATCACTGTTGGGCAATAAATGCATTATTATTATTATTATTATTATTACTATTAATCTGTTTTTTTACAACCACATAAACAAGAGTTTCCATATTCCAACTTAATTCAAAATATCAAACTACGTTTTTTTATTCCTTTTTAAAATTATCTATAATAGGCGTTGGTCTTCCATTTTCAATGATCTCCTTTTTTTCTTAAATTATACAAAGATAGTTGATCGATTACGCAGCGACACTCATCCATGTTTAATTGCACGCATACTACAGCCGGTAACCAAAACGGGTACTAACGAGTGAGAAGTGAGTAACTAAATCAAAAAATGGTAACAAGCCCACATAATAGTCGCAGCGCCCCATGCACTCGGGCGACAGCGATCAGACACGAGCCGGTACCGGCGCTCCCCGACAGACTACGAAGTATATCCATAAATGAAAATGGTAACAACCGACAACCAAGTCGAGGCGAGTCAGCTTCATCGTGTTCGCATAGGGCACTATTATTTTCGTGGGGCTAATTTGCTATTTACTGAATTACTGTTACATATCGCTGTTGGTAAACCAATAAATGAAATTATTTCAGTACTTAGTCATAAAATATCTATTTTTAAGATTTTTAACTGTTACCAATGGTAACAATGGTTACATGGACGCTTCGCCACTGTTAACGCTAAAGGTACTTCCTTCCCTGTCCTAAGTATCGACCTTTTGGCAACGCTGCTGAACCTCATCAGTCAAACACGTCATACGCGTCAGCCACAATACCATAACATCGCTGCCGGCGATGCTGTTAGATGCAAGGCAGAGTTCGGCGAATGAAAGTCGCCGTTGCAATGCATCGTCTTGACCGCCGTGTATTTTGTCTATACGTAGTCGTGCCATAAGTTCTGTCCCATGATAATCTCATGATAAAAATGAAACAAGATAAGATATATTTATATGAAAGATGTTATTTATTCGACAACATTTTTAGAATTCATAATCAAACAGTTTTATTCAAAATGTCCCCCCTTGGCCTTCACACACTGCTTCAATCTCGCGGGCCACTCATCTATCACTGCACGCACAGCTTCCAAAGGAATAGCTGCCGCTGATCGGATCAAATCCGCTTTCAGGGACTCGATATTACGGTGGGCTTTGGAGCAGGCCAACTGCTCTAGCAGGTCCCACAACTTGTAGTCTAAAGGATTGAGGTCCGGACTCCCTGAGGGCCAATCTTCCGCAGCAATGAACTCGGGCACATTGCTTTCCAGCCAGCGCTGCGTACTCTTAGCCTTGTGAGCGGGGGCGGAATCCTGCTGGTAGACCCAGTGTTGGTTGGCAAACAATGTACCACTTAAAGGCTTGACGATAGGATCCAGTATGTCGCTCTGATAGTTTGCCGCTTTTGTTTTCACGCCCTGTTTACAGAAATGGAGCTGAGTGACCCCTTCGTACGACACCCCCCACCAAACCATGACTGACGCAGGGTGGTGGCCTCTCTCAACTCTCGGAATGATCTCCGAAGCTTCCTGTGAACTCCTTGCATACACTTTGTCATTTTGTCGGTTGAATTTTTCTTCTATGGTGAAGATTTTCTCATCCGTGAACAAAATCTTTCGGAATCCCCCAGCTGCGTACCTCTCCAAGAGCTTCTTGGATCTTGTCGCCCTGATGTGTCGCAAGGTGGCCGTAAGTCGCTGGCCCGTACGTCTCCGGTAAGCCCCTAGCCCTAGGTCTTGTTTAATGATGCGCGACATCGTCCGGACAGGAATCTTCATTTCCCTGGATAGGATCTTCTGCTTCCGGAGTGGATTCCTTTGAATCCTGGCTTTTACGGCTTTGATGGCTGCTGGAGTCCTTACTTGACGAGGTCTTCCGCTTCTTGGCCTGTCATCAACAGAGGACGTCTCATTGTACCGCTGAATGGTCCTAGACACAAATTTACGCGATATTTGAAGGCCGCGTAAGAGTTCAAAAATCTGACTAGCACTGTGATTACACTTATGTAAAGCTATCACTGCAATACGGTTCTCTGCCTTGCCCCACTCCATCGTTATGCTTCGAGAGATCAATACAAACTGAGGTATATGTAATTACCCGAAAAGCGCTTAATCAACTGACACCACAATGTAAACAATCGGACAAGTATTAACAGGTCTACACTTGTTTGAAAACGAGGGACAGAACTTATGGCATGACTACGTAAATATTTCTCTGTTATAAGGGCAAATTAATGTACGGAGAATTCTTTGATGTCTGAAATATACTAAATGACATAGAAAATGCAACACCGAATAGGAGTGCTGTGATTTTGAGCATACTTTTAAGTTTTATGTCTACTGATAAATAGAAAGTGATTAAAATTTTTACTCGAAATTTCGCAAAATAGCCTTAATGTTAATAATGTGTTGAAGCTACACATTTGTTAAGTCGTCGAGGCATTGATTGGTTTAGGTGAGTGACGTCTTCTTGGCGTATTGCATCAAGTACCATACGTGTTCGATGGGGAAAGGTCTGGAGATCGAGCAGGCCACTGAAGTAGACTTACCCCGGACGCTTTTAAGAAGTGTAAAGATACCACGTGTGACATGAGATCGTGCATTTTCCTGCTGAAAAGTGGGTCTTGTAATGTTTCCAAAAAGGAAAGCAGATGTGGTTGTAAAAATCGTCGTGGATATAGCGCTGGGCAGTCATGCTACCTCGAATGAACACTAATCGTAACCTGCGATTAATATGCCGTTCGATGGAATATTGGACGATCCGTCGTTCACCATGTCTCCTCTTTACTCTTGCACGGCTATCATGTGTGCCCAAACAGAATCTGGACTCATCGCTGAACACCACTAAGTTCCATTCCATATTCCATCACGTTCGTCCCTACTCGTACCTAAGCCAAATTTTTAACTTACCCATACAAAATAGATGATTCTGTATTGGAAAGGTGTGAAACTTTCAGAGATTTAGGCGTCTATTTCGATTGTAAGCTCACTTTTAACTACCACATCAGTGAAATTATAAGTAGTGCGTATTGCAAATATGGCTTTATTATCAGAAATTGTAGAAATTTCAATAACACAACGCTTATTAAGTTATTTTCAGTGCTTGTTATAAGTAAATTAGAATAGGGTGCAATTATTTGGAGTCCTATCTATAAACTGTACAAAACTAATGTTGAAAAAGTGCAGAAGAAATTTCTAAAATATCTATGCTATAGGAGTGATGGTGTCTATCCTCCAAGAGGATGTGACTACTCACAATTACTCAATAGATTTGGCATCCCTTCTTTGGAAAAGCGCAGAGAGCAGGCGTCCATCATATTTTTATATAAATTACTGCATGGTAACATCGACTGTCCTGTTTTGCTATCGCAAATTAATTTCCTGGTACCTAGATTGACATCTAAATATAAGGTTTCCTTTTACTGCAAGATTGCGCAGACAAATCTTCTATCTAAAGCACCAATAAACTTTATGTGCAATAATGCGAATAGGATTGTGAGTTTTTGTGATATCTTCTGTTGTGGATTTCAGGAATTACGAAGTGCTAAACGTTCACATCTTTGACTTTTTTACGCCTTTCTCTAGGGGTTTTCATTTGTTGTATATGTATATATATGTATATATGCATTGTATGTATGTATTTATGTGTATATATGTATACCTGTATATGTGTATACTCATATATGTGTGTATGTGTATATGGATATTTGTGTATATACCAGTATATTCTGGTTTCCTAATATCTATTGATCATATTTATAGTTTCTTTTTTCTCTACTTAAAGCGCCTTTCTCTTTCCTGTGTTTTTTTTTTATTTTTGTTTCACTTTATGACACACAGACTGTGTAAATTAAACCATTGTATTATGTATTGCTCTCTAAATGG